AGCTCTGCTTTCTTTTTCCCACCTTTTTCTTTCAATTTTTTTTTTTTTTTTGAGGCAGGGTCTCCCTCTGTGGCCCAGGCTAGAGGCATCATCATAGCTCACTGCAACCTCAAACTCCTGGGCTCACTCAATCCTCCTGCCTCAGCCTCCTGATTAGCTGAGACTACAGGTGCATGCCACCATGCCTGGTTAACTTTTCTATTTTTTGTAAAGAGGGGGTCTTGCTAAGTTGCTCAGGCTGGTTGTTCTTAAACTCCTGAGCTCAAATGATCCTCTCACCTTGGCCTCCTAGAATGTCAGGATTATAAGCGTGAGCCCCCATGCCTGGCCCCCTTCATGTTCTTTTTTTTTCCCCTTCAATTTTCTAATTCACCATCCCTCCCTTCTCCCAGCTGTCCTCACATTTCCTCACCTAGGAAATTCTTCATCCTGCCATTCCTCCTTCAGCTCCAGTTCCCCAAGTCTCAGAGCTGCTTCTAGTTCTGCTGTTTCTGCATTCTCTCTGACACAGAACAAAAGATTAAGGGAACTGGGTAGTAGTAGGTGGAGACATTGGAGTGAAGAACAGTAATTAAAGTATAGAGCAGAGGGTGGGCCTTAAAAGGAACTCAGATCTCTCATCTCCTAAAGAGATGTTTCTCCCTCCTTCACCACTTGCTAGCAGCAGATTACCTACCTACCATTGGGTTTAGGAGCAGAGGAAGGATGGAATGTAAAGCTAATCATATTTACCTCTATGGCTGTTGCTCCACCTACAAAGTAGGGCTGAGTGATGTCCCCACATTACAATTGGCTGGAACCCAGACAGACCCACCCAGCTATCACTGGGCAAAGTTGAGAAAGATGGCACCTCGTCAGGCCTGCCTTTCCTCCACCATGCTGGGGAGTGGCTAGGGGAAAAACGGCATAAGCTGAGGGGTAGGGGAAGAAAGTAAGGAGAAAGATTTGCCGGAAAGGAGAACCTGGACCAAAACTCAGTTTTGGATCAGCTTTCCTGGTGGTCATTCTGGATGGTGAGGGTTAGAGAACAATGTGCAGATTTATCAGATACAAAAATACAGAAACTTCCTTTACTTTTAAACTAGGAAATTAGTTTAATTCCCTGGAATCCCATTCCCCAGTTCTATACCATACTGATATTTTCTACTTAGAGCCACCCCCATCCTTTCTCTGCAAATTCATTCTCTGCAAATTCCTGTCTCCTGGAGGAACCCCTGAGATTTGACCTAGTGAGAGCTGAATGGTGGGACAGTCCCTTAAGACTATTTATTCACTCCGTTTCCAATCAGGTGGGCCAAGATCTTACTTACCCAAGATCTAAAGTCTTTTTTCCTGCTTCCTGTACAGTTCCCATCTTCACAAGTCCTCCTGTCTTCTTCTTTAAACACAGAGTTGTTGGGAAGCTGATTGTTCCAGCCCCCAACACTCCTTTACCCCTTTTCTGTCTCAGTTATTGTTGCTCTTGCCTCCAAGGAGGAGGGAGGTGTGGAAGGGAGGTAACCTCATCTTCAAACAGGTTTTGCCACCTCCCCTCCCAAGGAGCAGGTCTACCCAAAAGAAAAACCCTGCCTCCCATGAGGGGGCGGGTTTGGGGGAGGAGAGTGCTTTCCTAGGGTGGCTAGTCTTGGGTGAGTCTGGGAAAAGAATTTATTCTCCTTTCCAGATTCCTTATAACCTTCTGAAAGCTGCTCTTTATAAAAAAAAAAAAGCAACAGTAGAAACCATTTTGTTTGTAAGATTATCTTGGGTCTACTTTTCAAGTATAAGCAAAACTGGGGAGACAGATGTATAAGGAAAATTCTGGAAGAAGAAACTTCCAGAAGAAACTAAAAGAAAAGCTGAAGATGAGGGAAAATAGAAACCTGTTGCTCCTTTTTCCCAAAAATAGTTGACAGAGGAAGATAGTAGGTACAGTAGGAAGAAGGGAGATGAATCTTTAGGAGGCTAAAACAATTAGCAGAGGGAAAGGCTTGATTATAGTTGTAAAAAAGAGACGCTAAGACTCTAAACAGGAAAAAAGTATTTAATACTTTAACAAAATGCAAAATAAAGTACCAAAGTTACAAAACATAAATTCCTTTGGTAGGTTCAGTGAGCACACCACTATTTTTTACCTTCCAAATGGCTACAGACATATCCTCAAAGTAAAGTCAGACTGTCCCCCTTACACTGGAAGATGTCATGCCAAAACCATCATATACCCCACTGGTCAGTGAAACTGTCAGCAACTTACATGGAATAGAGCTGTAGGGTAGGAAAAGGGGGAATGGGTTTGTCTGAAGAAAAAAGGGAGACTCTACACATGCAGAACAAGTCAGTGGGAGGGAGCTCTCTGCTGGGCCACTATGGTATGAATCATACCCCTATACATGCTACATAAGACTGAGTCCCTTGGTACAATCATACATAAATATAGACAATCCAGTGACCCCAAACATTCCCAGGGAAAACAGAAGAAAAAATACAGAGAAGCAGAGGAGAGAAAGAATGGCAGCAAGAGGCAGATCACAGAATATCAGGGCACATCTAGTATAAATAAACCCTGTCTTACAGAGGGGTAAAATGAGACCTAGAATAGTGAAGTGCCTTGCCAAAAGACACAGGGTTTGCGGCAGTATTGAACTCCATGCTTCCTTTTAATATGAGCAAGAACAGAAAGTGATGGACAAGAAATTGATAGACCTGTTAAGGGAGGGGACAGACCCAGGGCTCTCATTGCAGTTCTGCTGTCTTTGGGAAAGAACACCTATGAGGTCTTAAGGCTTTCCTGTATGCTACCTGGACTCTTAAGAATCAGGGGTCTTCAGGGTCTCTTTAAGATTCCTGTTGGCTCTGGGACAGAGGGATCCAAAGGAACAGAGAGCCAGGCCACTTGATCAGGAGAGAAGACAATGGCCTCCAATCTGTTCCCAAAGAGGACCTGAAACAGTCACAATAAGCTCAGAATAGAAATTCAGCCATCTCTGAATCAAACACCATCACCTAACCAGAGGCAGAAAAAAGAGTCATAGAGTTGGAAATCTGCTAAAGGCTGAGAACTAGAATAAGAATTTCCAAGCTCACTCTCTTTTCTGTCTCGCTTGAAGCAGGTATTCAATAAATACTTCAAAAAATGAATACATGGAGACAATCGATGAATGTTTGATTTCATGACAGATATTGGTTCTGTTCAAGATCTTTACTGAGGGCACTTTTGGGGTCTACATTCTTTTTGCCCCATTCTTCTGGGACTGTGGATATACCACATTGTACCCCTGGCAAATGAAATACAGGAAAGTCAGTGCAGACTTATTTTTTTTGAGACAGAGTCTCACTTTGTTGCCCAGGCTAGACTGAGTGCCATGGCATCAGCCTGGCTCACAGCAACCTCAAACTCCTGGGCTCATGTGATCCTTCTGCCTCAGCCTCCCAAATAGCTGGGACTACAGGCATGCACCACCATGCCCGGCTAATTTTTTCTATATATATTAAGTTGGCCAATTAATTTCTTTCTATTTATAGTAGAGACGGGGTCTCACTCTTGCTCAGGTTGGTTTCGAACACCTGAGCTCAAATGATCTGCCTGACTTGGCCTCCCAGAGAGCTAGGATTACAGGTGTGAGCCACCGTGCCTGGCCCAGATTTAAATAATAAAATTAAATAATAAAATTTGTCTGATTGGTAATTGGGGAAAAAGGTACAAAGCCATTCTCATAGCAGCTGCTTTCTTTCACTTCTTTCTCTTCACAGTTTTATGGAAACAGTATACCAGATTCTGGAGCAATGAAGACAACTGCCGAATCTCCACACATCTCAAAACATGCATTTCAGGTGGGTCACGTAACCTCACCTACCATCGATCCCCTGCCCTCCCAACAGTCACTTCTTTGACAGGGAGGCAGTGGTAGACTGTGACAGCGAGATCTGGCTGCATTTCTCAAAGACAGCCTCAGCGGAGAGTTTGGGCAGCCCCTGATCCAGAGGGCACTCATCCACCAAGCTGTTCATGGGTGTGGGGGGCAGTGGAGGGTCCTCCTCATCTTGGCTCAATCCAGGAATCAGGGAGTTACTTGCCCTGTCCAATTCCTTGTCCACCTGCTCCTTGGAAACAACCACTGTCTCAGACTGCCCCGAAGGGATCTTCATGGAGTCAAAATACACTGACAGGGCTTCCTGGAGCAGAGGCAGAAGTTTTTTTCGAGAGACCTGGGTGTTGCCTTGAAGATAGGCTTGGAGGTTGGGATGGGTGCTTGGGGCAGGAGTCAGCTTCAGGGATGGAGAGTGGGAGCTTTCCAGGACTCCACAGATCTACAGAGGAAACAATAATGGGGAAATGATATATAACTTGGTGTAGCAAAGAGCTGAGGCTTCTAAGTGAGAGGCTTCCTTTACAGATGAGAAAATGCTTTAAAATTAAGTTATCCAGAGTTCAGTTTTGTTGCTTGCAACAAAAGGAATGTCACTAATATACACAGTATTTTAGAAACAGAAGAAACATTTTAGATCATATATTTCATTGTATTAATAAGGAAATTAAAGTTCAGAGAGATTAAGTATCTCGAGCAAAATCAAGTAGATGATGGCTGAATCTGAACCAGAACCCAGGGCCCCTGGCTTTTAATCTAGTGTTGTTTCCCAGTGTATACCTGTGCTCCAGAACTTGAACTCTGTCCTTAGCTGGGATGGGACTAGCATCTATCTGGGGGTCAGAGGAAGGAGGGAAGCAGAAAGAATGAACAGAACAAAACGGGAGTGGGAAATATGCCAAGTATGCTGCAAAGTCTGGCCATTTACAATATTATATCACTTTCCTCACATCTAGTACTATCACCCTCACTTACATATAGGTAAACTGAGGCTTAGACAGATTAGGTGACTTGCCTAAGGTCATGATGTGTGTGAAGCAAAATTGACATTCGAACCCAGATCTGTCACCAAAGCCAACATTCTAAATCGATATATTATACTACCCCTAACATAGGAGGAAGCGGGAAGATGGTGGGCAGACTGTGAGAGGACGACTCCTGTTTTCCAGCACAGAGGCATCCTGGGCAATGACAGAGTCATCAGCTTCAGAAGAGGTGCACAGAGGGGATGAGATTCAGGAAGGTGGGAGAGGCACTTCATATGGCCAAAGTACCCTTTTCTTCCTGACAGGATTAGTAAGAGCCACTGTTTACTGAGTGCTTACTCTGTGCCTAGCAATGTACTTTACATATGACATTACATTTAATGATCACATAAAGCCAATCCGTAAGTATTAATTTTTTTTTATTTTTTTTGAGACAGAGTCTCGCTTTGTTGCCCAGGCTAGAGTGAGTGCCGTGGCGTCAGCCTAGCTCACAGCAACCTCAAACTCCTGGGCTCAAGCGATCCTACTGCCTTAGCCTCCCGACAGCCTCCTGAGTAGCTGGGACTACAGGCATGCACCACCATGCCCAGCTAATTTTTCCTATATATATTAGTTGGCCAATTAATTTCTTTCTATTTATAGTAGAGACGGGGTCTTGCTGTTGCTCAGGCTGGTTTCGAACTCCTGACCTCGAGTGATCCACCCACCTCAGCTTCCCAGAGTGCTAGGATTACAGGCGTGAGCCACCTCGCCCAGCCTGTAAGTATTATTATGCCATTCCCAGACTCAGAAGTTGATTAATTTGCCTTAGCTCAAAGAGCAAGTAAGTGGTAAACCTGAACAGAAAAGCACATCTATCTGACTTTAAAAGCTATAGTTCTTTTCACAATGCCAAACTACCTTACACTAGATGAAATTACATTTGCTTTCTTGGGGAGAAGACAGAGATAAAGAGAGGTGGGAAAGGGCAGGAACACCTTCCATGAGTTTAAGGGTTTATCTGGCTATATTCTGTCTTTAGCAGTCATCACATAGCCCAGGCAACGTTAAGAGTCCCCAAACTGTCTTACACCCACTTTTAAATTCTTTCCTGGGATAATCAACAACCAACAGAGGAACAGAAAGGGGAAGAAGAAGAAAAGGTGCTAAATAGATCAAGAAGGAAAACAAACCTGGTCCTACATCACTTCTCTGCAGAGTTCACACTATACAGAATAATTAATTCCTGCAGGGTAAGTAGTAAAAAAATGCTTCTCTGTGTTTCTAATTTCCAGGCCAGTAGAGTAGAAAGAAAGGAAATGATTTTTTAAGGGTGAAGAATTAATGATTAAACCAAAAATGGAGTTTTAACTCCAGACTGATAAAATATCCTTCTTCTTTTTTTCTTTTTAAGACAGGTCTCACTGTGTTGTTGCCTGGGCTAGAGTGCCATGGTGTCATCATAGCTCACTGCAACCTCAAACTCCTGGGCTCAAACAATCCTCCCACCTCAGCATCCCTAAGTGTTAGGATTACAGGCATGAACCACCACACCCAGCCTAACATTTCCTTTTAACCAGATTTCTTTCAAGTTCCTTCAAAGTAGGAATTGTATCTATAATTCTCTTTGGAATCTCCCTTTCTCAACAATGGTATGATTAAAGATATCCGTATAGAGATAGAGAATGAAAAAAAAGCAGGAGGGGAGATCCTGGAAACAGGTCAAGGGACTTCTGTGTAAATATGATAATATAAGAACCAAGGAGAGGTCTTTACAGCACAAAGCTGTAGAGCACAGAGGTACATACAGGCAAGCTCTGTAAGGCCCTCAGGTTGGAGAAGGGAAAGAGACTCACCGTCATTCGGAGTGCCACATGGGGACAGAAAATAGCCAACTGCCGCACTGGCTCATTTTGAGTGTTGAAAAAGATAGTCATGGCGACAAGGACATCATAGCTGTGAGCCTGGCAGAAAGCATGGAGATCTGCAAGGAGGTCGGACCTCTGCAGAAAGGCCTGAAAGGAAAGAAATGGAAAGCAAGGAGGGCTATAGCTGGACCCTCCTCGTCATCACCAACAAAACATACTTATCAAGGGCTTCTTTGCATGTTAACTGGGGACTTGTGCTCCATAAGAAAGGTATTGAGTATTTACTCTCTGTTATCTGTGTGTTGGGAGGCAGTGTGGTAGAATGAGGAGAATATAGGCTTTGGATTAAGGCAGAATTGATTTGAAAATCAGCTCTATTACTTCTTAGCTATATAATCAAAGAGTTATATTAACCTCCCTGGACCTGAGTTTCCTTGTCTGTAAAATAAAGATACAACGCTTACCAAATGTAGTTGTTTTAAGAATGAAAACATGATAATGTATATAATGTGCCCAGTATGTTCAAGGCTCTCCTGCTTTTGCAATCAAACAAGGTCTTTGCCTTGAGGGGATTTGTTTTCTAAAACAGGATGGATAACAGGACATACAAATAAGAGTGGACATGTAACAAGTGCATCCCTGGCCTTTCCTTCTTTGCCAATCTATTTTCTTCTCCAAAATCTCATGCAGCATTTCCTCCAATAAATAATATCACCGCTTATTTCAGACAGGGCTCTTCTCTATTCTTGGCATTCTTTCTTTCCTTCTTTCTCTTCTTTTTTTTTGAGACAGAGTCTCACTCTTATTGCCTGGCTAGAGTGCCATGAGTGGCAGCCTACTCACAGAAACCTCAAACCTGGGCTCAAGCGATCCTCCTGCCTCAGTAGCTGGGACTATAGGCATGCACCACCGTGCCTGGCTAATTTTTCTATATATATTTTTTAGTTGGCCAATTTATTTCTTTCTATTTATAGTAGAGACGGGTCTCGCTTTGCTCAGGCTGGTTCCAAACTCCTGACCTCGAGCAATCCTGCCCGCCTCAGCCTCCCACATTGCTAGGATTACAGGTGTGTGACCACCGCGCCTGGCAAGACCCTGTCTCTTTTTTTATTTATTTTATTTTTTGAGACAGAGTCTTGCTTTGTTGCCAGGCTAGGTGAGTGCGAGGATCACCTAGCTACAGCAACCTCAAACTCCTGGGCTCAAGCATCCTGCTGCCTCAGCCTCCCAAGTAGCTGGGACCACAGGCAGTCATGCACCATGCCCGGCTAATTTTTTCTATATATATTAGTTGGCCAATTAATTATTTCTATTTATAGTAGAGACGGGTCTCGCTGTTGCTCAGGCTGGTTTTGAACTTCCTGACCTCAAGCAATCCGCCCACCTCAGCCCCCCAGAGTGCTAGGATTACAGGCATGAGCCACCTTGCCCAGCCTGATTCTTGGCATTTCTAATGTGTTTATTTGTAGTATGGTTATAGTACTTGGCAAGCCTTTTATATTTCCATATTTGTTTCCCAAACTAGGTTATGTACTGTAAGGGAAGAGACCATGCTATTTTGTTTTATTTGATTATTTAATTATTTAAGTATGTGTTCAAAGCAGGTGAATAATTTAAACTACTATGACATGGAACCAGGTATTAAAAAACCACCATTAAGGTTATATTCATTCACCCATTCAACAAAATTTACTGAGCATCCACTATGTGTCAGGCAGTGTCAAAGGTGCTAGAGATATAGCTGACACAAAAGAAACAAGGTCTCTGTTCTGGTGAAAGTTGATAAACTAGTATAGGGAATATAGACAATAACAAGGAAACTATGAAACAAGGATTGTTTCAGTCTGTTAAGTGCTATTATAAAAAAAAAAAAAAAGATAACTTCCAGAGGTTTCTTGAGCACAAGGGATATTACTTCAGTTAGGGTGGTCAGGAAAAACCTCTGAAGTAGGAGACATCTGTGCTAAAACCCGACATGATAAGAAAGAGCCATTCTGCAAAGAAAAAAGCAAGTTCAAAGACCCTGAGCTGGGAATAAGCTTAATGGGTGTGAGGAACAGAAAGAAAACCCAGTGTTGCCTACAGTATTGTGAGTGCAGGGTGGGCTGGAATGAGATAGAGGCCAGAGAAAAAGATAAGGCCAGATCAAGTAGGGCCCTGTAAACCATGGTCAAAGCCCTTTAGATTTTATCAGAAGTACAATGAAAGGCAATAAAGGGAAGGGTGATCTGATATGATTTTGATTTATGTCTTAGAAAGATACTCTGGCTGTATGGGAGAATGGTTTGTCGAAGTGCAAAAGTGGAGGCAGGGAAAACAATACAGAGGCTTTTACATGGTACAATGAAAGATGATGGACTGTGGCAGTCACAGTGGATGATGAGATGAGAAGATAGGTACAAGATATATTTTGGAGGAGGGAGTGAGAGAAATGGGTGGGTAAGTGAGTGAGAAAAAAGAAAAGAAAAAAAAAGATATATTTTAGAGGTAAGCCAGGAATGAGGAGCAGAAGATTACAAGCATAACTAAAGATTTTTTCTCCCACCCACACCAACATCTTGCTCCTTACCTCCAAATCCATATATATTGCGCTAATGGCCACCTTGATGCCTGTGTATAGATGTCTTCTGGTCCTTTCTCAGGCATCTGCTCAGTGGTCAGTCCTAGGAAAGTGGATGTAAGACTAGGGGGTCAAACAGGGAGCCACGGACTCCAAGACCAGGAAGGCGAGACACCAAGTGGATCAAGAAGAGGAAAAACAGCCTCTCCTGGGGCAATGAAAGCAAAGAGATAACCATAAATGCAAAATACCTTAAATAATATGGTGACAATGTTACCTTTAGTCTTGGAATTTGATTAAGAGAAGACACAAAGCAAGAAAAAATGCTGTTACTGTTTGATTTTCCCCTTCTGTATTGTTTTCCTTGTCTTCTGGTTTTTTGAAGCCCCGGAGTCTCGCTTTTTCCCCGCTTAGAAACCAGTGGATCATCATAGCTCACTGAACTCAAACTCCTGGCTCAGAGTAATCCTCTGCCTCAGCCTCACAAGTAGCTAGGACTATAGGTGTGTTGTGATACCATGTCCAGCTAATTTTTTATTTTTTGTATCAGATGGGGTCTTGCCATGTTGTCAGGCTAGACTCAAACTCTGGCCTGAAGCAATCCTCCATCTCAGGCCTCCAAAATGCTAGAGGTTACAGCATGAGCCCCAACCGGTAGCTTGTCTTAAATTTTTTAAGAAAGTATATGTGGTACCTTCCGTTTTTTATGTCAACAGGGGGTAACTGGGTAGATTATGAAGAATTTTGTGTTCCTCTTCCTTTGGTCTTTTGCATATCGTCGACACTAACGTTCTTCATTTCCCTAACCTATACATAGAGCGTCACTTTGATGAATTTAGTATACCCTCACATGACTTGTATTTATATGTCTTACATATTTCTCTGGATTAGACGTGGAACCTCGGAGAGACTCTTAATATATCCTTCTTCATCCTAGCCAACAGCCAGGGATAGGAAAAATCCCTGTAAGATTAGTTCTATGATCAGACTCATGCCTACCCTCCATTTCTCTCTGGTGTAAAGTTAAATCTTGTATGTATGCTCTTAACAGTATTTTAATGTTATTTAAAGAATATAATGAACTAAGGCTTGTCCAATATTTTCTCATGTGCGAAGTAGAGACAGTCGAGCTTAATACTTCATACGCTGATACATCAAACTTTGCCTTTTGTAGGGAATCAAAGATGTCATTCTCTTGGGCAGATCTGGGAAGAGGCCTCTTAGTTTTCCACATATTTGCTGTCCTTTTAGGTTGCCTTTCGCAAGTTTTAAGCGGTCCATGTGTGACCACGAGTCCCAAGATGATGGTTCCTGTGGAGAAGGGAGATCGGCGGACACTCCCAATCCTATGACCTCCATGCACGACCCACTAGAACACACATCCTTCAAACCCAAAATGTGCACCAATGACAGGAGACCTTTATGCCAACCCACTACACCAAACCAAACGAGAAACTGGGACTGTGTTCTGTGAATAAGACCTCCTAAATCCAAACTAAAATGATAGGCAGGGAAATGGGGAAAAGGTAGAAAGAGAGCCGAGCATCTTAATGCTTGGAGATTTTGGTATGTTTAGAGAAGATGGTATCTCTTCTGTAGGCCAAGTCCATCAAAGAATCTTGTAAGTCAGAAGAGGTCAATCTAGTCCAACTCTCTCTCTCTCTTTTTTTTATTCTACAAATAGGAAAAATGAGAATAAGAAAGTGTTAAGGAGATTTTGCTTAAGGTCAGTAAATTGTATTTCTTGGAGCACTAGTATTAACAATCCATTTCTTGCTGCTTTAGCTAGTCCTTCCATTACTACAGTGACACATAATGGGAAGCTTCTGGGTCTTTGCCCTGTGCTTTCCTTTACTGTTTTCTCCAACAAAGTACCCATAGGCCTTTAAAACAAAAGTCTGATTGTCCCCAGAAGAATACCATCCTTTGGTATGATACTGACATGCTTCGAGGAGCCGATGATGGTTTACCGGAGGAGGTCTAGACTGGTTGTCATTCTCCGCTCTCTCGGATGGGAATAGGAAGTAGTCCAGTCTCAACGCCGCAAAGCTGACCGCTCACCATGCAAGAAAGGCTGCAGTTTGTCCTGTCCAAGATCTCTTGGTGCCCCTGCAGGATTTCTCTCAGTCACCCAGGTAGCGCAGGACCCCACCAGTTCAACTGAAACATGACAGGGAAACAGTGTTTCTGCTCAATGGTCGATGGTCTCAGCCACCTCTGCACTACTCGCTCCTTAGCGGCTGGCATCACTTCCTGCAGAGGGGACAGTGCAGGGGAAAAGAGAGAAGAAAGATAAGTAGGGCACTTCAGCTGCTTCCGTAACCCAATCTTCAGCCCCCCCATAAAGAAATGCAAACACTTAGACCTTCGATCACTGTCTACCTCTGCAATCACTCTTCTCAATTCTTTAATGTTATAACTGAAGTCATTCTTGTAAATGTCATGTAAGTGAAGTATGTGAAGGCATCTCCTGCGAAATGATCTGTATTCACACATGTTGTCTGTCCTTTGAGGGTTGCTTTTCCAATTGATACCCTTGATACTCAACAACTAAATCTCTGTGTCTTCAATCCACTCAATACTCCAA